ATATGAATATCAGGCACAATCCTTCCCGTTAGGGGTTTAGTATCATACCATCATAACATATATGAGAAGAACATAACCCGTGTCATGCCAACAACTGGTTTTTAAATAAATGTGTTTAGTTCGGATGCAAAGACCCTATAAGTGAATCAATATTAACGCCAAAATATGCAATCTTTAATGACCTGACAACAGTATCCTAACTATATCCCTTCTTAATTAGCATGTTCCTTTCCAGGAAAGACAAAATGTATCAGGTAAATTTGCACAAATGTAACACCATTTGTTCGCGCAAACGTAATAACTGTCAAATTTCAAATTCGCGTAAATTTAGGTCACCTTACTACTTACATCCACGTCATTTGTTGGTTAGTATATCTGTAGATCAATTCTGTATAGATAAACGAAAATGCAATCAAAGCTTATATATCAATCTGTAGATTTCACATGCCATAATTCTTATTATTCTTTTTTTTTTTGACAATGATAATTGATTTATAAGTCTATAGCTGTTACAATTACGTTATTGCTACAGCTTTCACAAACAAGGTACCCTGATATATTGATATCTTTAAGAACAGGGTGTCTAAAAGATAATTTTTACTTTATAATTGTTAGTTAATTACATACTTTTATACAAACATATACAAATGCAAATCATCTAAATTGTTTTTTGTTCCGGATTTGACCTTTACTTTTCCATCCTTATACAATCTACCTGACATATATTTCCCCCTTTTAGAAAAATCGTGCGTGTGTCCAGTGTGATCAGAAAATCATAACCTGACATGATTAAAGGATATAGTGTTTGTATTGATCTTATTAATTTTGGATTATAATCAAAAGGAAAGATGTTATATGTTTCTTAATATCGAAATAGAATTTTCATTGTCTTTTATAATGTTTCGTAAATTTTGTGTTATGATTTAAAGTTTTAAAATAAGTGTAATTTAAGGAGAGGGGTTAATTTTATAGATGCATTAGTTAATTTATCATTATATACATTAGAATACTTATTAATCTTAGTAAGTTAAGAACCCCGATTTCCTGGAATGTTCGACATTCACATGATCAATGCCCCCAAAAAGTATTGTATTCATGGACAATGCATCATACTACAGTGTCCGTGTTGAGAGTACGAAATCTCCAACCTCTTACTCGAGAAAAGACGATATGAAGGTTGTTTTTAAATAAGAATGGTATCGAATTTGACAGCAATTTACCAAACCAAAGTTATATCAAATGATTAAATCTAAGAAAATTGCACCTGTATATAAGGTAGATGAATTCCTCAAAAAGAAAGGACATGAAGTACTTAGACTTCCCCTTTACCATTGTGATTTAAACCCTATTGAACTTGTATGGGGTTATTTGAAGGGATTTATTGGTCAAGAAAATTCAACATTTAAACTTAATGATGATAAATCACTCTTCCAAATAGGATTTGAACAAATTGATAGGATAGTGCTAAGTGGTTAAACTCTTGTGATCATGTTAAAAAATATTATTGAACCGAGCTATTGGCAAAATGATGCAATCCAGGAGGAAATTCAAAAAGTTGTTATACACATTCAATCTGATTCTGAATCTGAGAGTGAAAAAGATGATTATACTGATGGAGATGAGACTGAAGATTATGAATGGCCATAAAAATAAATTTGATGTGAGAAATTTTTTTTTTCCTTGTACTAAACTTAAACATAAAAAGTGAACAAATCCTGTCAAAACTCATGTCTAATAACATAACATATGAAGGTATTCCGTTGCCTATAAAGTACTGTTTTACTAGTTTATACTATTTCTAATATTTTCTAAATAGAAAATGGACAATGGAGATTCCTATCATATATAGAACTTTTAAAACAATCACATGACATGAAATCTAATTTTGTTTGCTGGTCAGTTAAGGTCTTCTTTATATTTAAATATACAAAGTCAAAAGGTATAAATAAACAAACATTCAAAGCACATGTATGTTGGTTTTGTTTTTATTGGATGGCTGTTACACTATATATACTTACTCCATCAGGTAATCTACACTTCAAAAAATAAAATTAACATAGAGACCTAATGGGAAACTTTTTTAATTATAGACCAAAAATTATAAAATTAATAGTCAGAGTTCGTATATATCATATATTAACAAACATCAAGGAAAACATAATTTGAAAAAATGAATTTTTAAGAATTTTTTTCTGCAAATATATAGAAGTCAAATGGACAATATGAAGTACTTAATTTTCAACACAAGCCTAAACTTTGAAAATCTTTTATATAAAAACTTTTTCGCTGCTCCCCACAATTGTGTTTATTTTTATAAATGATTTTGGACATAAAATGATAAATATCTTATGTTTTCTTATTTCTTCATTTGTGCATAAAAAATAACAAGATGTTACTAATTACGATGTGTTTGTAAAAATACTCCCAGCAATTATTAACAATGACAAGACACACGATACAAAGAATCATAAAAATCGGACTTCATACGGACAGATATAGTTGACCTACTGCTTATAACATTTGAGAAACGGACATAATCATGTAACTTTAACCTTGATCACTGATCTATGAAATGAGGTCGAGGTCAGATGAACCCTGTCTGGCGGACATGTAGACGTTGCAAGGAACCCATATACCAAATATAATTATCCTATTCCTTATAATAAGTGACAAATTCACATGACAAAAAAAAAAATGTTTTTCAAGCAGTCACTGAACCATGAAAATAAGGTCAATGACAATGGACATATGACAGACGGAAATTTCGTAACATAAGAAATCGGCATACAACATATGAAGCATCCAGGTCTTCTTCCTTCTGAAATATAAAGCTTTATACAAATAGTTTACGCCGCCGCCGGATAGTAATACATACGTCTCGCATACTGCGACTTTCCGGTAGGCGAGACAAAAACCTAAGAGATCTTCAGTTGTTGCAAACATTCAATGCCTTTTATTGCCAATCAAATCTTTGGCATTAAGATGAAAAAATTGATAACTATAATCAGCCAATTACATTAACATTGAATTATATTTAAAAGTAGAGCATAATACTAGAAAAGATTATAAAAGATCTTTAATTACGTATTTCATGATGCGATAAAAACAAATCTATATTGAGAAGAAAGCTGAAAGCAGAAACAAGAGAATGTCCAGTAAAATAATTAAACCAACAGCATTCAACAATATATTTTTATATCGTCAGAAAACTGTTATTCTCATAGATTTATTATGTCCAATAGGTATAACTACATCGTTGATCATCTGGATGAATCTCATCTCATCTTAACTGTACCTTTAACAAGTCAGGCCGTACGGTGACCTATAGTTGTTAACTTCTATGTCATTTGGTCTCTTGTGGAGAGTTGTCTCATTGGCAATCATACCACATCTTCTTATTTTTATTTGTGTTGTTCGCTATTGTTTGTTTGTATGTGTACCAATATTATTTTAGGATGAGTCGTTGTTGATGGTGTATGGTAATGTTTAATACTTCAGATAATCCTGTTATCCGGTTTTCATCTTCATTCCCAGATATATTTCATAAACAAGGAAAATTAATATCCACAAGCAGAGATGTAATATAAACAAGGCGGATGACTTAAGTCTATATATATATAATGCGGCGAATCTTTAAATAACTGTATGCCGGTTGGGTAATCCAAATAAACTCCAAGGTACACATTACCTTGGTGACTTCTATAATTATTTGTAGATATGCATCAATCACGAGCTGGATTTAACTCATACAAGCTTATTTCATAATGGATATATGATGCTGCTTCTGGTTAATAGACAACGAACACTGAACATTATAGTTTATATGGATTATATTAACTCACATTATTATATTATATCCCATGTTTGAGCTGTTTTTCATTTATATTTTCTGTAATGTAAATGTGTAATATACTAAGCACTGTACTGATTTTGCCCATAATGGATCCTTTATTGGAAATAAAAATGATTTTCTTACCTCTTATACACCTCTAGGACTATGATTGGTTACATGCAACCGTGAGGAGACCGTGTATATTTCATATGGGGGTAAGTAGACGGGGCTTATTTCAATACACGGTTAGTATTGGCACAACTTTTTGGAATTTTGGGTCCTCAATGCTCTTCACTTTTGTACTTAATTGGCTTTGTAACTATTTTGATCTGAGCGTCACTGATGAGTCTTACGTAGACGAAACGCGCGTCTGGCGTATTACATTATAGTCCTGGTACCTTTGATAACTATTAGTAGTGGTGTAACGTCCCATTTTAAAAATAACACGGTGTTGAGGAAAAACCTAAAAGGGTTCAACAGACAACGAAATGATGATGAACGATTGAAATAAATTCATAAAACACATTTAAAGCTAATAAGTTGTTATTGTTGGCATTTATTATTGTATAGACCAATGGAAGTAGGTTCTTAATACTAAATATTAAGTATCGAAGACTTAATCACTTTGATTAGCCACTAGTCTAAAGACCACATGTTAAGATATTCGGTAAGATAAATTCGTTACACAGTGTGTTAGTGACCTAATACGATATATATGGGGTCAGTAAATTCCATATGGAGATTCGAGCTTCGCTCTGACCCAATAAGAAATTAACTGACCCAATGTATATCGTATTAGATCACAAGCACACTATGTAACTAATTATCTTTATGTCGGTTGGCTTTTTTGTATTATCAGAATAATAATAACAAGTTCCTGTGCGGCCATTCTGAAAACATGCAGGCCAATTTGGTATTTTATCATCAATATTTACCGGTTTTTCAGAAGTTCTAATACAAACAAACTATTGCCACCAAGGGGTGACAAAATCTGCCATGAGATTTGGTCGATGGTCGTTCGTTTAATGAAATATATGTTGGTTTTCCATCACAAATTCATTAAAGGTGTAAATATTCTAACTTTAATAACCTATTTTACTTTAGTTTATTTGACATAAATAACGTCGGGCAAGGTCAATTATATTAATATTTAGAACAGGTAGATAGATTTAAATTGTCAATATGGATCAACTGAAACGAAACTGAAAATTTCCAAAGGATATAAGGATATGTAGTCTATTATATTGAATTATTTGTTCGACGCATGATTTCAAAAAAACACTTCTCATCATCTTCAATGGTAATGGTAAAATTAGATTTTATGATTACCGAACCGATTTAAAGGTACTTTACAGACAGGGATGTAAATATCGTTAAGTGTTGATCAGCTGTTTTAACTACCGTTTCTAAGGTATATATATTAAATATGTCAGCTGAACTCAGTAATTCTGAAATAGAAAAGTATGCCAGGATTATACACACATGTATTGATGAAGATAAACCTAACAAAATCATCAGTACATTATGTATGTTGACAATAAGTCAGCGGGAATCAATAGTGACTTTCAAAATCGATGGAAGGCCTGCATTATGTTTTGCATGTATAAAGGGTAACGCAGATATTGTGAAATATTTGTTGGACGAATGTGACCCCGATGTTGAACAAAATGGGTTCTTTAAAGCACCCACCTGGGAAAATGGAATTGAAGCTCCGTCTTTATGGTGTGCGACAGGTCTTGAAAATGGGCTTTATATAATCAAACTTTTGACTGAACATGGAGCAGACGTTAATGGACTGACCAGTGTGCAGTCGACGCCATTAATATCGGCATGTGGGTCGCTAAATATGCCTATGGTTGAATATCTCGTAGAACATGGTGCAAACATCAGGAAGACTACAATACAGGGATATTCGTGTTTAATGGCAGCCGTAGCTAACACGGAACTATGTGCATATCTTATTTCTAAAGGAGCAAGTGTTAACGCTTCAAGTATGGATGGATATACGGCCTTACATCATGCTGCACACGCTAATAAGTTAGAAACCGTAAAGTTATTATGTCGGAATGGAGGATCAATGACCGCCAAAACAAACTATCAAGAAACACCCCTTAAAATCGCTGCTCTGAGAGGCAGTTCAACTATTATAAAATACTTTCTAGATACTTATACATTTTCAGTCGAAGACAAATGCTATGCATTTGATTTATTGGGTTGTTGTTTGGTAGACGATGACGTCACACGGTGTGTTTTAATGTGGGAAACAGCATTAAAGCTGCGTTTTGTTGTGACTAATAATATGACCAATACTGTAAGGAACGTGACACCGGTATGTTACTTGAATTGTGCAGTTGAAGTTATGTCAGTCGAAACTTTACGTCAACTTACTGATCCAAATGACTTTTACATGCAAGCACTACTGAAATATTCCCGGATTTATGGTGAAAATCATCCTGTAACAATCGGAAAGATCATTTTTCGCGGTGCTATGTATCTAGCTAATGGCTGTTATCAGCAATGTATGAAACTATGGAAATACGCTTACACGCTAAGATTCAAACAAGACGATCCTTTAAATGGTGATACAATCCAAAGTGCAATAAGTTTAGTTGACATGATTTGTGAAATGGAGATAAAATGGGGTAACAAGAATACGAAAGAACGGGTAATCTTTATGAATGGATACAGTTTTAGAAATATAAACCAATACATTTATTGCTTCAGTTAAAATATAAAAATTTGATGTGGTATGATTGCCAATGAGACAACTCTTCAACAAGAAACAAATGACATAAAAATTAACAACTATAGGTCATCGTACAGCTTTCAACAATGAGTAAAACCCATATCGCATAGTCAGCTATAAAAGGCCCCGAAATGACAAATGTACTTGCTTCAGTTAAAACACTGTTTTAAAAATGTTTAGATTTTTTCGCTAATATGTCTTTCGCTCCAGGCTATCAACAATGAACAAAACGTATACCGTATACTAAGCTGTTAAAGACATGAAATTGACAATGAGGATCCATTGAGAAGAAAACTTAACGACAAATGAGATGATTCCAACAATACAATTGGATACTTTCTAATTCTATGTAGCAAAAGTCCAGCAGCGCTTGCATATGGAGTATATATCTTCCAATTGATACGATATTCCAAGGCTTGCATTTCCTTTCATGATTTCCTTGATAGAGGGTTGCTTTTAAAGCTATTAAACCAAGGATTCCCAGCAGTGAAGTTGAAGTCGTTCCTTCGAGACGCTATCACGACCTTTATTGAATATCTGTTTGACGACGGATATGTTCCAATTGTAGTCCACAATCCCGTGCTCATTTCCTTGAATGTGACCTGCCGAATTAGACTCATCACCAAGTTTGTACTTACATCTGCAACACGACAGGTGCCACATGTGGAGCAGAATCTGCTTACCTTTAATGAGCACCTGAGATCACCCCTGCTTTTGTGGGGTTTGTGTTGCTTAGTCTTAAGTATTATATGTTGTCTTTTGTAGACTCTTTTGTAGACTCTTTTTTGTGTTTTAGTCGTTTTTAGTTTTTTGCTAGTTGTCAGTTGATTTTCGACTCATGAGTCTGAATATACCTTTGGTTTCTTCTGCCTCTCTTTTAAGATGCTAGATGCGAATCAATCACAAGAGAAAACTAACGAACAGATTGGTGGTTACAATATTTAATGAAAAACAACAACATTACCAACAGGGAAAACTGTATAACAGGCTCTTGTCTGGGACAGGTATACAAAGAACGTGGCTCGGTTAGACATGTTTGTGAGTGCTCAACATATTCCCTGACTTGATTAAGTTGTGTAACTATACAACAATAAAACAAACTGAAAATCATTTAAAAGGGTAGTCTTTCATTTTTATGGTTTTTATTGATTAGCCTTTTTATCATTTCAGGTGCAGATGACCGATGTATTGGATGTCTTCAAGACGATTGTTCGTCAGATTGAGGGAGGTAAAAGTGTTCTCACCATACGTCCATTAAGCATTATTGAACAAGGACATTTGCAGTGCCTAATGAAGTTAACACTACATTTAATTCGACTTTTTCAGTTTATAGGTGGTAGCGTGACTGAGCGTGTAGACTTTATAGAACAAGTTGCGTACTTGGTTCAGATTGATCCAAGGGGAATAAATAATCAGACATTATTACACTTAGCAGTAGATCCCAATATAACCAAAGTAGGAGATGTTTCTCTGATGAAATTTCCATCAGTTTATGTGGTTGATATACTATTGGTCTGTGGTGCAAATACTAATACCCGTAGCGACGACGGATATGATCCACTGAGAAAAAGCATTAAATTTTCTGACCTGCCTTCTAAAAAGATTTAAAACTAGATGGAAAGCATCTGGTTTAAAACAATAATAACAGCAAAATGTTTTAAAGACAGTTTAATGATTTGACAGTTCCAATGCCTTTTATAGCTTTCTATGTGGTATGAGTTTTGCTCATTGTTCAAGGCCATGCGGTAACATATTCTCTAATAACTACTTACATCCACGTCCTTTGTTGGTTAGTAGATTTGTTGATCAATTCTGTATAGGTTTATCAAACATGTGAAATAGGATGTTTTGTTAAAAGAAAATGCATTCAAAGCTTGTATATTTAGCTGTTAATTTCACATGCCACATTCGTTTTTATGTGATAGACAAATTCTAAAAAAGGAAGCGCTCTTTGTGTAAAAATAATCTTTGTAAACGACAGACATAACTTGAGTTATTTTTATGTGTAGAATTAAATGGAACTGGTACATTGTATAAAGTACGAAATATTCAATAAAAATCTAGATTTTTGAATAAATTTGAAATAAATGCACTTTTCTGCTGCTCACTACCATTGTTATGATGTTATACCTGTCTTAATGTAGCTAGGGTGTCTAAATGCCCGACAATACACTTTTCTTAAACTTCTGTAAAAGACTTCTGGCACAATTTAATCTTAAATTTCAAAACAAAAAATGGGGGTCCTGGACCTTGAATTTTCTTTAGAATACATTGAAATTTACGAAATTACCGTAATATTTTATATGGATTATAAAGGGAAAACTTTTTTTTACCTTTATACTTGTTATACTTTTAAACCTAACCCTCAATAAATGATTCCATAAACTTAAAGAAAATTAATGCCCGGGGAGAGCTACAAAAAGGAGTAACGAGTTCTATAAACAAAGAGGCGATATTGATAAATTGGTGGATTCTTGTTTTTATCGTGTCAAAATAAATATTCCGAAAATGTATCATTGAATGTTTGGTTTAATTTCCTCCAATCTCAAAGGTATATCTCCGTGAATTGAACATGCTTAGAATATGTGTCCCTGAACATTACACAATCAACATACATCAATTAGTCGATCTTTTTCCTGTTGTTGGGAAAGAATGAATACCTACACAATAAGTTTAAAAAACGTTTCCTTCTCATCACAAACTTAACTCCTCTAAAACTACACGTCTTATTGGTTTTGAAAGCAGGCAACGTGGTATAAATCAAATCAGTTAAAATAAAATTCAAATGTCTTTATTTCTAATTAAAGGACCCATATAGAGCATATAAATTCATACAAATCACAAAATTCATACAATATCCAAACAAACAACACATACAATCTAACATACATACTGATGGTTAATAATTAAAAATGATTAAGAACAAATATGGAAACATGATTAAAAACATATATACATGATGGGAGAGAGCCAGTACAAAGAGGGATAACTCCATTTGTTTAACTTAACTTTTATCTCTTTTTTTTTCTTGTCTGATCTGGAAAATTTTATTTAGATACAGACTAAAAACTGTATTAAAATCTAAATCTTCATTTGTCATGATCCAGATAAAGAGATTTTCTAAATTTATGTTTCTCAGATTTGGAAACTTTTGAAATAAATTTTGTAAGAATTCTAATCTTGGTGAGCTATATAGAGGGCACTCTAAAACAAAATACAGTTCGTTTTCTATCAAGTTAAGTGAACAGTGTTGTATACATCGAACAAGATTTCGTGAATTAAATACACTAATTCGTAAAAGGTGTGCTATATATAACTTGATTTTAAAAGGAATTTTATGAAAAATCTAAATACACTTAACGACATTATTTTTTTTTATAGTTTAGTCCTTAAATTTCAAGTTTTAGGTGTTTCTGATGTATATTGAATGATACTTGGTAAACTATTTTTAAACCACAAAAGTATTTTGCAACATGACCGGAAGGGATGCTCAAAAAAAGACATCCGATCCACCATAAACGATTTAGGGCAAATACTAAATGTCTTATTTTTTTCTTATTTCATTGTTTGTAAAAAAATATAGTAAAATGTTCCTAAGTGCGATGTGTTTGTAAAAATACGTCCGCAAATAATTAACGTTAACAAAACAAACATTACAAAGAATCATCAAAATCGGACTTCATCCACTGATGTGTCGTAAAAGTATGTAAGATGATAAAACTGTGGTTTATTTGTTTGGAGGTAAAGCTATTAGTTTTAGTATCAGGAAGAAAGGATTTGACAAAATTGCACTATGACAGGTATAGCGTCGGTAACGTTAGAATCCAACAGTTCAGCCACGTAACGGAATCTTATATTGAAGGAACATTACAAATTTGGATGTGCAATAACCGAATAATGTTTAATAATGAAAACAGATAAACAAGAGATATTTGACAAACTCTTTAAGTAAAATCTAAAATAATTTTTGATTAAAACTGAACATTGCATTCAAGAAATTAAAGAACAAATTGTGAAATCTTATTTTTTTGTCCAGACCTTATTTTGTTTTTTGTTCATAAGGATACTGGGCTTATCAACGACCGGGTAAACTTAAGGATAGAAAGGCAGATGTTCCGTCTTTCCTCTCTGGTGTCGATCTTAACAACATGTATGAATGTCTGCTAACAGGAAAACAGAAGATAAACTTTAAAAAGTAAATGAAAGGGATAATTACCCCGGTGTACACTACTGGACAACGGTTTGTATTCATGTGTCTACCAACTGGCAATGGTGGTATTCCTGTGTCTACTGCGGGTCAGTGGTTCAATTTAGGTGTCTACTGCTAGATATAGATAGTCAATGGATGTGCCCCGGGTGTACACCATTCTTGAATGGTTCGCTCAAGTGAATGTTACCAATCATTTACCGGGTTGATTTCTAATTATCTTAACTTCTCGATCCGCAATAATAAATCTACATGTCATTTTTTTGAAAGATTTAACATCACATTTAACCGGTTCATATTTAAGGTATACGTCCACCCATAAAACTGTTTCCTTCATCAATACGGGTGTTATCTTTCCTTGCAAATTGTGCACATATGGTATTTGCAGTAATGAAAAATAGCTTGGAGTTCTTCAGTTTTTGCAAACATTTAAGGCCTTTTATGCCATTAATATCGTTGAGAATATGTAGATTAAAAAATGGATAACTATTACCAGAAATTACATCAACATTGAATAACATTAAAAAGAAGAGCATCATACTAGGAAAGATTACGTATTTTATTTTGGTCTTTTATCATCTGCTTTCACGTTATTTTATTTGACATATAATACGTCGGGCATGGTCAATTATTGTGATATTTAGAGCAGGTAGATATAAATTTAGAATAGATAATAGATTTAAATTGTCAATATCTATCAACTGACACGGAACTGAAAATTACCAAAGGATATATAGTCTAAAATACTGAATTATTTGTTCGACGCATGATTTCATAAACACTTTTAATCGGTTGTAATGGTTATGGTGAAATAAGATTTTATGATTATTGATACATGTACGAGTTAAAGGTACTTTACAGACAGGGACGTACATATCGCTTAGTGCTGATCAGCTGTTTTAATTATCGTTTCTAAAGGTATATGTTTAAGTGAAAAAATATGTCAGCTAAACATAGTAATTCTGAAATTGAAAAGTATGCAAGGATTATACACAAATGTATTGATGAAAATAAACCTTACAAAATCATCACAACATTATGTATGTTGACAATAAGTCAGCGGAAATCAATAGTGACTTTTGAAATCGACGGAAAGCCTGCATTATATTTTGCATGTTTAACGGGTAGCACGGATATTGTGAAATATTTCTTGGAAGAATACGACTCTGACGTTGAACAGAAAGGGTTATTTAAAATCCATAGTTTGGAAAACGATATTGAAGCTCCACCTTTATGGTGCGATACGGGTCTTGAAAATGGGCTTGATATAATAAAACTTCTGATTGAACATGGTGCAGACTTTAACGGGCCTACCAGTGCACATTCGACGCCATTAATATCGGCCTGTGGATTACTAAATATACCTATAGTCGAATTTCTCGTAGAGCATGATGCAGACATCAGGAAGATTACAGAAAAGGGATATTCGTGTTTGATGGCAACCATAGCTAGCACGGAACTATGCGCATATCTTATTTCTTAAGGAGCAAGTGTTAACACTTCAAGTATTGATGGATATACGGCCTTACATTACGCTGCACACGCTATTAAGTTAGAAACCGTTATGTTATTATGTCGGAGGTTTGATGACCGCCAAAACAAACTATTAAGAAACATCCCTTAAAATCACTGCTATTAGAGGCAGTTCGTCTGTTATGAAGTACTTTCTAGATACTTATGAATTTCCAGTGGAAGAAAAATGCGATGCATTTGATTTATTGGGTTGGTAGACGATGACGTCACACGATGTGTTTTAATGTGGGAAACAGCATTAAAGCTGCGTTTTGAAGTGGCTAATAGCCTGACCGATCCGGTAATGAACGTGACACCGATATCTTACTCTCAGCATGCAGTTGAAATTACTTTTATAGATTCTTTACGTCAACTCACTGACCCAAATGACCTTTACATGCAGGCACTGTTAAAATATTTCCGAATTTATGGCGGGAATCATCCTGTAACAATTGTACAAATCGTTTTCCGTGGTACTTTGTATGGCGATAATGAATGCTTTCAGCGATGTGTGGAACTTTGGAAATACGCATACACGCTGAGATATAAAGAAGACGATCCTTTAAACGACGACAGTATCAAATGTGCAATAAGTTTAGTTGACATTTTTTTGTGAAATGCAAACTAAATGGATACACATGAAAATTAAGGAACAGGTAAATTATTTAGTTATTTCAAAAATCCAGGAACAGAATGGGAATGAAGCTAATAGAAATCGCATGATAAATGTAGATGTGAGTGAAGGTGCGTCGACGGTATAACACATTTGTTAGGATGTTTCCTGCAGAAATTCGAAAAAAAACAGTTTCATATATATGAGGTCTTTTTTAATAGACAATATATTACAAATCAAAATTGAGGAAAAAGAAAATAAAATTGAGAATGAAAATGGGGAATATGTCAAAGAGACAACAACCCGACCAAAGTGCAGATAACAGATTATATTGAGAGGAATATCTCAATTCATTTCTGTATTCTTTAATTCATTAGGCAATTGTCTAATTGAAAAAAACAAATAATCTGGTATTAAAATATGCACACAGTCGCAAGCTTTGGTAGCGAAAAAAGAATGCTAGTGATCTTAAAAATGAAGACAATGATTCTACAAAACACTTTGTAATGGTGTAGTGATGATTTCGATGACTTCCTAATAAACACCACGAGAGAATCTTTTTTAAGTGAACACCCCGACTCATAATTTTTTAAAGAAAGCTTAAACTTTCATATCTTATCAAATAAAATAGTTATGTAAACGAAATAGGATTCGGAAGAGGGAGACTTTTAAGAAAGTATACAAATTAACAGGAAAAATAAAATCATAGAATTTGTCATACATGTGTAGAAGCAATTTATGAGTCGTTCATATGTGTCTTTATTCTAAAAAAAAAAGAATCTAAAAATAAAGAAGATTTTGTTAATTATGTTTTTTTGTTTTATATTTTGTCAGATTACTGTCTTTTTGCGCATTCCCTACATACACTACTATCCTATTTTTCTTTTTCACTGTTATGAATGTAAATTCTCACTCAAATTCGGATTATTTAGTTGAAGAATATCATCGATATATATATAGATATCTGAAAAAGTTTTCAAGGGATTTTAATTTTAATTTTTTAACAATAAGGAGTTGTGGTATGGTTTTCAACGAGACTACAATCAACCAAAGAAAAAAATTTCAAGTCACAAAACGGCTATCAACAATGAGTAGAACAAAAACAAAATATCTAGCTATAGTTGTCTTTTGTGTTTTTTGTAGTTTGTCTTTCGTCTTTTTTTTTGTTATTGCCATGGCATTGTCAGTCTGTTTTCAACTTATGAGTTTGAATATCCCTTTTGTATCTATCGCATCTCTTTTATGATAGACCTCTTGATGCCAGATGTGAAACAACAATTATGGCAGACAGTAACCAACAACAAAAACTGGATTATAGGATCATATCTTTGGACATGCACACAAAGACGGTTACTTTGTTAAACTTGTTTATGGGTGCTCAACTTAGGCCTATTGTGTAACAGTACAGCAATACAATTTATTAACTGTAGAAATGTGAAAGGGCTATATTCTGTTTTATCTTAAATTTTATAAATAGTTTTTTAACATTTCAGGTTAAGATGACCGATGTTTTTGATGTATTCAAGTTGATTGTTAGCCAGATTGATGGTGGTAAAAGTATATGCACCATACGCCCAATAGGTATAATTGAACAAGCGAATATTCAGTTTTTAATGAAGTTATCATTGCATATAATCCGACTTTTCCAGTTTCTAGGTGGAAGCGTGAATGATCGATTAGACTTTCAAGAACAAGTTAAATACTTGGTTCAACTTGATCCAAGGGGAACAACTAATCAGACATTATTACACTTAGCAGTAGATCCCAATATATCCAAAGTAGGCGATATTTCTTTGATTAAATTTCCAGCAGTTTATGTTGTTGATATACTGTTGGTCTGTGGAGCTAATGTTGAAGTGTTTTAATTAGTCTCTCTTGACGCCTAGATTGACTTGGATATTAAAAATTACTAGCGATAAAAACTTGGAAATAGGGCGGTTGCAGAACAGTATGTACTGATTTTTCTAGAGCACATGGAATAAATCATAGTTTTATCAGAGTTCATTTTGTGATGTTGGAACTTGGTTGATTAAAAAAAATATTGCCCTGTGTAAATAATGGTGTATGGAAGCACGTCACGAAGTTTTTAAAAACCAGAAATTAGTTTCAGTTTTTAAAAAACAAAATGCACAAGTTGAAAAACATTTCATTGCTGATACCTTAATCGTTGTAGTTGATGATAAATACCACTTTTATGGACGGTAAAATAAAATCAAATGATAGAAAGAGGTTTTTTTTTATACTTGTTCAAATTGTAGATAAGTAAGATAATACAATTTGCAATACAATATATTTGAGCATACGATTTAAGTATGCGGGCTGAGTATTTATTAACCCTAACCATTTCTATATATTTTACGTTTTCAAACTGTTTGTGATTTTGTTGACATACAACAAGAAAGTGCAGTATGATTGCAAATGACCAAAGAACAAGGATGTACCAACTAAAAGATATCGTTCGACCTTCAACAATTAGCAAAACCCATCCGTTTGAAGGCCCGGGATAACAGAATGTGAAACAATTCAGAAGTCAGAAAAATAACCGCCTGATTTGTTTTTTAAACAATTAAATCATCTTTATTGCACTAAATGCTGTTTAACAATTTACAGCCTGATTTAACTCATTACACATTTAGCGAAAACAATTTTGTCAGGTTGGAACCATGAACAAACTTTGGAAAGGCACAAACAAAACGTGGCGACTTTAACATGTATGTGAGTGTTCAACCCTCAGTCCCCTATGTTAGAGGTGTAACGGCACAATCAAACAACGTAACTTTAAAAAGGACACTGACCAATCAGACCGGTACTAAGTACATACTTAAACAACTAACAAAAGACAAAAGTCGGAGAATTCTCGTGGTTACTGAAAGCTGGTTGAAATCCCAATACCATCCATAAATCAACAATGTTTTCCAAGACTAAAAAGAACATTTTTTAAACAAATATATGTTATTTCCACGCAAACCAAATGACCTGCGTGTATTGTCACACAAGAATAACAGTTATAGTGATAACCATGATAGTAAATATAATTGTATGTATGCAGGTACAACACACACATCATAATAAAAGAAACGTAACAAAAGAAAATTTTAGAAAAGAAATGATTAACTTGTTGTAAAACAGCTTCTCGAGTGTTCCCTTTTAAACTACAATTCTAGTAGATTTTATATACTTGACATTTTCTTACAAAAGTCGTCGTATGTTTAAATACAAAAGTCAGTTGTTTGAAAAGACTTGTTCAAGCATTAAGTTGTTTAAACCACATGATGTTTAAATTGTTAAGTACTTCCTTGTAGACATTGACAGGAAAATGCTTGTCTTGGTGATAAAATGGATTCTGCTTATCGTAAAAGGTATGAAGTAAATTCATTTGTATTCTGCTATAAACACAGACATATGTATTTATATTCATAGAGGTATTTATGCTATTTCTGCAACGACTACAAATTTCCTCTTACACTGTCACAATACTATATATACATTGTATACATCGAGCTGCATGTCATGATGACAATGAAAGTCATTAAAAACTCGTTTACACAAAATATACACTAGAAAGTACATTATTAAATAAGAACCGTTCGTAATTGCAAAATGTGCATTACCTGAACACACCTCCTGGATAGTAAGGATTCTTTAAAATCGAGGTTATGTTACGTGGACCTTGCCATCCAACAGTTAACACCCTCATGGAAAAGGTGTCAGTTTAGCTCTCTGGAATTTAAAAATATGAATCAATTTTCAAAAGCAGCAAAATTATTTTTACGATGTGATTTGAAAATGTCCTTAATTTTTAACGTAAATTGTTAAAAAAATGGGGGATTTAATGTTCTGTTGTCAAACAGTCTACTAGGTTTATCGTCAATGCGCTCAGGAATATTGACTAAGGTGTAGTATATTCCATCGTAAAAATTATGTTGAACTAATTGTTGAATTGTAGTGCACTGTCTATTTATTAAGTGTAAAGAAATACTCATAAATACCTTTAATTGTGTACGCCCGACGTGCAAGCGGACAATACTGAACCCGATGTAGCAATCATCTGCTGTCAAGATGAATATTATCATTAAGAAGACCAGTCTGACCTACTATTATACATGTTCGAAAGCTAATCTATGCAGACATCTTTCATCTATGCCTATGACGACAGCTGAACTTTTGAAAAGGGGGTTATAAAGTGTAGAAAAAAACCCAATTTATTTTTAAATGATCTTTTAACTTCTTGACCACCATTTTGTTCAGTAGAACGGAATTAGCCGATCCTAAAAATGTACTTTGTGAAAAGGGAAAAGAAAAGGTAGAGGGGGATTTAGGGGGGCAGGGTGCCCGCCCCCTTTTAGTGGGAAAAATTTGGTTGATCATTTAGAGAATCACTGAATCATGGCTAAGCGGGCCCACTCTTATGGCAGTCAGTGACCTCCCCCCACCCCCACTTATGAAAATTTCTGGACCCGCCACTGAAAGGGGAACTTATTACAGAAACAGGAAAGTGTAAAGCATTTTATGATGTTCCACATGTGTTAAAGCACTTCAAATCAGTCATTATTGGATAGATTGAGGTGAAAATGGTTGAATTCAGGTCCATGTGAAATATTTGTGTTTAGGTAATTTCAAACTGAAACAAAATTGTTCCGAGCGCTCTTTTTTTACTGAAATCCATTCAGCAGAAAAATAAACAACATCTTTATAAATAATTCTGTCGCAAAATGTTGCTTTTGAGTGAAAATATAAGTACATATACATATTGCAATGTAAAACGACGTTAATTTCCGGTCATTTCCTGTTTCACTAATACAACAACAAAATATAGCTAAACACCAACTTATATTTCACTGAAAAGATCTATTAAATACTGAAAGATAAAATTCAAAGTAGTGAGAAACTAAGGTTCAAACTCTCTCATACATTAGCTGTGGCGAATAATGGGAATTAAAAGATGATTAGAAATATAAAGAACTGTGTGGTATTCATCAACGAGTAATCGACTGTAAAACGCAATAAAGCAAAATAAAAAATAAAAAAATAAAAACAGATATCTTCCGCAAGTCAACACCTGTTTAACTGCTGAAAGTGTATATTCCATCTATACAATATGTGAATTATTTTAGACGAAGTTCCTGACTTTGAAAAGAAGCAATATATCATGCAGCTGCTTTACAACTTTTTTTTTTAGGAACACACCCCTTCGTTTCATTAGCTCACTTAGTCCAAAAGGTAATGTGAGCTATTGCCATTACTTGTGTTTTTGTCCCCACTAGACAACCAACATGCCCTCCATAGCTAAAAAATAGGATGCAAAACAAGAAATTGTCTAATATCCTGAACACTCCGATAGCGAAAATCTCACAGAGACAAAACAAAAAAGCCCAGAATGATAATATCTACAAAACAACTATATGAAAATATCAAATTACTTTTGTATCGACCGATAACAGAAAAGCAAGCAATACAAATGAGTTGCATTATCAAACTGTTTTTTGGCTGTTTGATGAAGTTTTTGTCCTTGATGGTACCTTATCTTTAAAAATATAAACATATTGTCTCTGTGTGATTTATAATGGATAGAGTAGAAACAATTGTGGGAGACCTTCAAATTATTTCACTGGTCATTAATATTGTGATGACTGCTTAGTGATGGCTATTTGATTTAAGGAAGGTGGGACTTTTTTTCCATTTAAACATATTTTATTTGTTATTACATATAACAAAAAGGATCAGACACAAGTTATCACAACTTTAATAGTCCTCTCCTTAAGATAATAAGTTAAAATATATAAATACTAATACACACAACAACAACATTAGATAATTATAAATTTGTACAATAGTTATAGAAAAAAGAAAGTTCACAATTTCCCAAAATAAATAAACAACAGTCCTACGTCAAAAAGCTTATTTCCTCATCGACATACTTTATAGATATAAGAAGATGTGGTATCAGTACCAATGAAACAACTCTCCATCAAAGTCACAATTTGAAAAATTAAACCATTATCGGTCAAAGTACGGCCTTCAACACGGAGCCTTGGCTCACACCAAACAGCAAGCTATAAAGGGCCCCCAAAGTGACTAGTGTAAAACCATTCAAACAGGAAAACCAAAACTATATCAGTTGAAAAAAGAAAGAAAAATATCTTTCTGTAGATCAAAATGTTCACTTTTTCCAAAGAAAATGCAAGACTTGAAATTTTTTAATTAAGGATGTATTTTGACTAAGAGTTAAATTTTCGTTTCCATTTAGTAAAGTACCAAGATCTAAAGACGGGACAAAAAGTCTAGAAGCTGAATTCTGATTTGTGCATAAAACGGACATTTAAAGAAAAAATGAAATCTGTCTTCAGTCAAACTGCCGCACAGACAGCTTTGGTAATTTATTATATTTAATCTAAAAAGGTCATAATTTAGAACATGAAGGTCTAAGTTTTGGTAATATTATATTTGCCTTACGTTCTCCAACATAATAGTGTTTTGGGTCTTTGGATTGATGTGATTTCTTTCGTATTGGGAATACTTTAAAAAAATTGGAGATGGAATTTCTAATTACGTTATCGATTTCATTCCATTGCCTTATAGTATAGGGAAAATATGACTTTTTTGTAAGTTCTAATCTACAAAATGGTACTATGAAGTCAGTGTTGTTTCGAAGATTATATTCAAAAATAGTTGATACTGGAGGTGGTTTTAGTGTTCGTAAATAATTCGCTTGTTAGTTTTTCCAACAGTTCAGTATTTGCAACACCTCAATTATCCCATACTTCGCAACAATACTCAAATAGTGGTCTTATATAAGTTTAATAAAGTTTTTCCAGATTTGAACGAGTGAGCTTATATTTTAGTTTACGTAATACGCCTAGATGTTTTGATAGATTTTTTGAAATTTTTAAAACATGATCGTTCCATTTGAAACTGTCACTTTAAGTTATACACACGTGTTAGTGATTAGGTACTATCGGAATTTCTTGGTTGTCTAGTCGAATCGAAAGGTCTGTTTGTGAAATATATAATTTCTGTCTTTTTTTGGATTAAAAGACATTAACCAGGTTTTTGACCAGTAATTAAGTTGAGTTAGATCATTTGACATATGTTCCTTTATTAAGGCTGGATTTCTACTAGAATACCGAAAAGAGGTATCATCCACAAACAATCAACCGAGCGACGTTAAATTTTCGCTAATATCATTTATGTATATCAAAAATAAAAGGGGCCCTAAATGGCATCCTGAGGAACACCTGCAGAGACTTTACCCACAGAAGACGTGCTGTTTTTATTGACAACCTTCAGCTTTCGATTTTCCAAATAGATGGAAAACCATTTTAATAAATTACTAATTATTCCATGGGTTTTTAATTTGAGTAGCAAACGCCGATTTGATTGAATATTGTAGAATATCTGTATCATAGACGGCCATTGATGTGTTTCAGTTAATGTAGCTGCTATGTCGTTTTATTTCCTCGAATGTGTTTTGTATGATGCATGCACTGTTGTTTATCTATTTGACTTTTTCCTTTGGCAATGGTATTGTCCTTTTCTTCGACTTCCGATTATTGATTCCCCCTTGATATTTTTTCTCCCCTCTTTCAAAAGGTAACAACTCCTTCAGGCAAGGTTGAACGTACACAAATTTTGCTTTGTCGAAAGTTCTTTTTTTGTGCAATACCAACATGTTCATACAATGTAAAATGACATAATTGTCAATAGATAAAACATCAAACTTAATTATGTCACTTGCTTTACCTTAAGACCTTACCAAGTTTACAAACAATCGGTACATGTAAATTCTCTTACCCTATTTCACCACAGAATTTGAAGCATTAAAATGAAAAAACAGTTTTTGTACATAAATCAGGCCGTTAGTTTTCCTGTTTTACATTTGTTATTTTAGGGGCCTTTTATAGCTGACTATGCGGTTTTGGTTTTACTCATTGTTGAAAGCCGTACGTTGACCTATTATAGTTGTTAATTTCCGTGTCATTTGGTCTCTTGTGGAATATTGTCTCATTGGCAATCATACCACATCTTCTTATTTTTATATTTACTGCAGGGTTTGTTACTCGTGCTGTGTGGATTCAGTAGAATGTGTCCCCCGTGCCTGTAGTGTATGCCCTTATACTTTACAGTTTATTTGCTTGTGAGAGAGCTGTCTACATATTCCATTATATCAATTTTCTATTTCTTTTATTGTATTTCATCCCTGCCCCCTTCTATGATTTTACTAAGAATTTTTATATCATTCTGTATTTGCCTTGTATTAGTTCAGGGGACACAGTTATAGTCATACAAATAGAGTCCCTGGTGAGGACAGTGTATAACGTGCGCACATTTTGTTCTTACACCTTCCTAAATTTATTTCTTT